GTAATAATAATAATAATAACTACATGTGAATTCTATTTTGATAAATTTGAATCTATGGTTGAAATTATGAGTTGAATATTTTATCAAAGCCCAATTAATGAGATTATGATTATACTTTATGAATGCATGCAATACAGTCCCGAGAAAATTGAATAAATGATAAGTATATTGTATTTTATTTAGGCCCTTTGTTAAAAAATTTGGATTGTTATCATTATATTGGGTCATCCAGTTGAATATTTTTATTGTTCTTGTCTTTTTGAGATATATCTACTAGATTGAACAATTGATAAATAATTTCTCAAGGCTTACTACAGGTCTCGGTGGCCTTAAGTTTATCTAGGCCCTAGTGCCAATCTGACTCATAGAAACGGGTTCTGACACATATATATACTAAATACTACTTGTCACATTTGAAATTTCACATCGCTTAAGAAAATTATTAAATTTGTCTAAGTTACAATAAATTATTGAGCAAATTGACTATATTACAATTAATTTGATACTAATTTTTTAAGAAAAATATTAAACTGAAGTAATAATTAATATACAAAGGGTAAACATAAAAAAATATTTATTACTCTTTGAAACCACATATGTGACAAGTATTTTGAAACAAACTATTTTCTCAAATGTGACAAGTATTATGGAACGGAGGTAGTTTAAAAGATGGAATGAGAGTAATAATGGGATTACCTATGATAACATTAATGGAATTTTAAAAATCCTAAAATATCCTTTTGGATAATTGATAATAATTTGAGTTTATTAAATAACTTGAGTTTTTAACGATTGATAAATTAGGATATTAAATTATTAATCATAAAATTAGGATATTAAATTATTAATCAATGAGTTTTTTTTTAATAATTTTCTTATTTATTGATTTGAAAAACCTTTATTTTATTATATATTTAATATTATTATTTCAAACATATTCATCCTAATCGAATTTTCAATCGATTGCTTAATTGGATATTAATTTTTCAAAAAACAGATTGTTATGGGCTTAATTTTAAAATAAAACATTAAATTGAAAAAAATAAAAAAAAAGTACAAAAAAAATATTGTTTTCGCAGGTTATATATACTATATATATAATATATATATATATATATTATATACACCGCTTGATAAAATTTTGAATTCATTTCTTTTGACATCGATAACACCGCTTGTAAAATTTTGAATCATTTTCTTTTTACATCTATTTATATATATCTAAATTTTTTTCAAATTTTTTTATTTCTAAAGTCAACATTTTAATTTTTTTTATTTTTTCATAAATATTGGTTGTCACCATATCATATTGTATTAGCTCATATTTAATTCCTGTAAAATCGGTTGTATGATTTTCTGCTATAAACAGAAAAATTGCACATACTATAAGACTATGAGATATCAATATATCTATGTATCTCAATATTTAATCAAAAGCAAAGTGCGGAAATATTAGGATTTTCTAAAATATTTGAATAAATTTTGAGGTATTCTGAAATATCTTATGGCCAATAAAAAATGTAATATCTATCTATATAAAAACTGAAACAAAGAGAAAATTCAACACTGTTTCTCCATCCAACTTTCTATTTTTCTTTTTTAAGAATTTTTAAAATTTTAATTTATTTTTCTACAACTTGATTGGTTGTTGAATATATTTTCAAAATCAAAATTTATTTATAATTATTTTAGTAGATATGTTTAGATGTTTATGAGTTTGAAAATTTTAAATTATTTAACTAGATAACTAGATTATTACATTTAAAATGAATTACAATATTATTCTTATCTATATCTTTACATATATGTCTACTTCTATATATATTTTTATGCTTTAGCGGCATCTCTCTGGTTTACTAATATTATCGTTCATCTTATTATCCTTATTACATATCATGTCTACTTCTACTACTACTATATAACATATATAGTTATAATAGTAATATATATATATATTCAGCAATCTCTTTCCTCCTCCTTATGACCTTTAGGGAATATCTCCTTTAACTTTCTATTGAATAGTTTAGTTTTTTGCCTAATTTTGCAGGTTTTTTTTATTCTTTTTCGTTCCTCGAATCTTCTTTTTTACTATAGCTTTTTCATTTGTCTATATAAATTTCTTATTTGAATAGTAGTTTTTTTTTCCAATTTTGCAGGTTTTTTTTATTTTTTCTTTCCAATTTCTTTTTATATAGCTTTTTATTTTCTTTTATATTATTTAATTTACTCATATGTATATCACCTGTAGAGTAACCGTTTAAAGTAAGTGCAGAATCTTTGAAGACTTTAAACTCCTTGAGCGACAAAACGAAGATGAAGAAGATACGGGTGAATCAAAATCTGCCACTTTCACCTTCTGATTATTTGTACATATATAAAAGCAAATGAAAATACCCAAAAAAAAAATTCTTTTTTTATTATTTATTTTTCATCTTCTACCATTTTTTTGAATTAGCAAATGGAGTATTGTTGTTTGTAAAGAGTTTTGTTTTTATTAGTTACCTCCTTTATGTTTTACGGGTTTTATTTTTATTATTCCAATTCTTTTCTCATTTTTTCATATTTTTTGGATGACGATGCTCGCCTTTAAATATTTAAATAATTAAATAATTTCATTTTACTCATTAAATTTCAAAATAATAAATTTTAGTATGATCTAGAGGTAAACAGTCCCAATAACAATCTAATTAATTTTTTCTCATTGTCATGTTTGGTCATCCAAATTCATATGTTCAAATTACAAATTTTCTAATTTTTTCAAAAAAATAAATAAATAAATTTTCTTTAATATATAATGATGAAATTGAGAATATTTCACTTTTTATGGTAATATTTATTAATTCAGTGGGTTCAATGGATTTTAATATATTTTTGCTTAATCAAACAAAAAAAAAAAAAGTTTAATAATTGACGATAGCTAAGCTTTTTCCATATCTTTCCACAATTGATGAATCCTTTTGATTTCCTTGAAAGTTGGCACTTTTCTTTCTTTTTCCTTTTGATTTCCACAATTGATAAATGCACATCATAAGAAAAAAAAAAAAAACTGCGAACAACAGAACCGAACTAAAACTATATTTTCCATCCTCATTTGTTTATTATGCCTAATTTATTGAAAACTATAAAATTTTAATTCATGTGTCTGCTTTAGCCTAATCATTCAATTGAAATATACTTAAGTCAATTTTAGCCTATTATAAACACTTAATTTTTGCTTCAAAAGGACTTAGTGATATATTTTTTTGTGATAAAATGAGTTTAAGTCTGATGAATTTGATTCACGGACCAATGATCTGAGTTTAAGAAAAGTGATCCATCGGATCGTTTTCACATTTTTAGGGTCCGCATCGAAACAGAGCATGTCTCGGGTACGTCTCAGTGCACTGCTTCATTTTACATGCCACCCGGACTGATTTCGTGAAAAATTAGCGCGACCTGTTTTGGGGCCCATCGATGGCATGTGCCAGGTAAGTCCTAAAACTAGGGCCACGTAAGTCCTAAAACTAGGGCCACCTAGTAACCTATTTGCTTATAAATAGACCAAGGGGAGGAAGAATGGTTGTCTAACCAAACCATTGAATTTTTTATTCTCTAAACCCTTTAACCCAAATCTCTAACAAGTTTTTTTGTTTTGGATTAAGGGAGAATTTATTTTTTTCGAAGGAACCTCAGATTTGCAATCAACCTTTCAAAAACACTAATCAAATAAATAAATCTCGAATCATTGATCAAAGAACAAAGTTCTTAGCTGGCTTTTGTCATTTTTGATCCAATCTCGAGTTTTTCTTCAAACCAACGGGAAACTGAGAGTCTAAAGTCTTATTTCTCATTTTTCTCTTCGGTGGCCTAAATAGTCGTTCTCAAGTCTGTTTGTGAGGAAAACCCGACATCAACTAAAAGAAGACCGTCTACATCAATTAATAATTATTAATAAATTTATGATAAATATCAGTAGATTAGAATGTTATTATACAAATTTTTTACTATTGGATCGCATATGCATGTTTAATAGTTTTATTTTTATTTACGTTTAGATAAATAAATGGAATTGTTATTGAGTACGACCAGTTTCCAATGTTTGTTTTTATTTTTATTTTTTAATTAATAGTTGTTTTATATTGATCTCATAGGTTATCAAATTCAATTTTAAGGAACATAATTTACGAGTTTAAAGGATTTTAATTAGAAGAAATGTATAAGGAAAAGGAAAAAAATTTAAAAATATATAATATTCCATCATAATTTGAAAAATTTACTATATTTTAATTCAATAGTTGTTTATATATTGTCATCTCATAGGTCTATTCAAATTCAATCTTAAGGAACATAATTTACGAGTTTAAAAGCGATTTTAATTAGACAGAAACTGGCTTATAACGGGAAACTACGAACACACAACATTTAAAAATAATTAAGTTATTCCCATCATAATTTAGAAAAATTTACTACATATACATTATGTATATATAATATATATGCTTATAAATACTACTATCGTAGATATATAAAAAATATTAATCTGTTAACTATTTCGTTATAACTTTAACAAAGCTTATTAGGAGATATAAAAGAAGAGATATGGGAAAAGACACAAACCAACTAAAAAGGATATCTATAAATTTAAGACAGCATCAATAATAATATTGGGATTGTAATTTAAAGATCGTAAAATTAGGTTAAAATATTAATTGTAATATTTGATTATAATTTAACAAATTTTTAGTAAAAGAGAGATAGGGAAAAGAAAAAATAAAAAGAATTATAAATTTTAAGAAACATATAATATTGGATTGTAATTTAAAAGATCGTAAATAGTTAATTCATAAACATATAAATTTTGTTCATGAATAGTTGACCATTCTAATAATTTTGCTAATTTGAAGAATTTGATTTCTACTGCAGTATTTTTTTTTTTACTACACAAATATTAATTTAAAACACAAAATTGTTTTCGAGATATTAATAACCAAAATAAATTCATCAATTGTCCAACCCCTTTGTCAAATATTGTAAGTTAGATATACTGCCGATAAGCAATTGTGTTGTGAGAACATTCTTCCGAATTTAACAAATTCATCAATATAAAACAGCTCAGTAGCTTGAGAACTTTTAGAGCAGCTCAGTAGCTTTTTCACAAGCAGATCATCATTTACTACCAACTCCACAGTAGTGGCATCTGCAAAAAACCCTTTGCCAACCATTTCATTAATAAGTTGTTTTGACATGGACAAATCTTTGATTCGGAGATGTCCTTGGATAATCACTTTATAAGAGCAACTATTCCCTTCCATTTTTCTAAACACCTTCAATACTTCATCTAGTAATCCTTTTTTACTAAGTCTATTGACCATTGTATTGTATGTGCAAACATCAGGATGCAACCCTTCTATGGAAAGTCTAGAAAACAATTCCTTTGCATCTTTAACCTTTCCAGCTTTGAACATACCATCAATTAGGGTACTATGGACAATAAGATTAGGCTTCAACTGTTGCATTTCGTGAAAAAGATCCAACGCCATATCAAGACAACTATGCTTACAAAAGCCATCTATCAAAACCGAGTACGCCACCACATCGGGAGAATAGCCACTGGCACACAAGTCCTTGAAAAACTTATGTGCAGCCCAAGCGCTCTTTGCTTTACACAAGCCACGTATAAGAGAACTGTAAGTGAAATGATCAGGCACCAAGCCTTTGCAAGGCATTTCATCAAGAAGCCGCATTCTTTCGTCTATTCTTTTTCCCTTATAGTAACAATTAATCAAGATGCTGCAGGTACAACCCTTGCTTAGGGCAGCATTGGCATTTTGGGTTAAAGAATACATAAGTTACAAAGTAACAAGAAAACAACTACATAGACAAAGCATTGGAGAGGCTGAAATCCAACAAAAATATATGGGTTTTAGGAAAAAATAATAGCAAGAGAAAAAAAAAAAAAGCTATATTCTCCTTCCTCATATATTCTACAACTGCTAGTAGTGAATTTTCAGAGGCAAAGGGAGAAGAAGATCTTTACATATGGGCAGAGACGGGAAACAAAAGAGATAAGCCTTTACATGGAGCTTTTGTTGCTGCTTTGCTTAATGACTTGTTTGGAATTCAGTCTAGAGGATTTAGATCACAATCTCCTGTATTTCAGAGTCTAAATTTCATTGTAAAAGCCTGCAACAAAAATTTGCCAATTTATTACAAGCTTTTGCAATGAAATACGTTATCTTATTTACAGCTCTCCTAAGTAGAGTAAGGAAACAAATATTAGAAATTCTCTTGGACACCAGATTTTAACAAGTGAAAAGAAAAAACACTGCTACTTTTTTTTTTTTTTCTTGATAGCAAACAATTAGTATTACAACTTATTGGCAAGGCCAGCAGCATATGAAGTCTGATACAAATATAAATATTGAATTGCAGAAAATAGAGACAAATTCAAGTCATATAACCCAAAACAGAACAACACCTCCTGTGACTGTATAACAATTGTTCTTTCTTAAAATCTCACTTCAACTTTACACCTTGAGAACTTTTAGAGCAAACAAACAACCTCTGTGACTGTGTATAACAATTGTTCTTTCTTTAAAATCTCACTTTCAACTTTACACCGTGTTTGAGAACTTTGTTAAGAGCAGGCTCAGTAGCTTTTTCAACAAGGCAGATCATTGATTTTTACTACCCAAACTCCACAGGAGTCGCCATTCGCTGCAGAAAACCCTGCTTGCCACACCATTTCATTCAATTAGTTTCTGTTTGCCATGGACAATCAGTTGTTGTTGGAGACTCATCCTTGGATAATCACCATTATTAAGAGTTCTGTTGCCATGGACAAATCATTGTGTTGGAGATATCCTTGGATAATCACATTATAAGAGCAACTATTTGGTAAGCAACCCTTCCCTTCCATTTCCCTAAAAACCTTCAATGCTTCATCTAATAATCCTTCTTTACAAAGTTCATTGATCATTGTATTATATGTGCAAACATCAGGATACAATCCTTCTATGGGAAGTCTAGTAAGCAGTTCCTTTGCATCTTTAACCTTTCCAACCTTGAACATCCCATCAATTAAGGTATTATAAATAATAAGGTGAGGCTTCAACAAGTTCTTTTGCATTTCACGAAATAGATCCAACGCCATATCAACACTCCTATGCTTACAAAAGCCGTCTATCAGAATTGAGTAGGTTACATTATCTAGAGAATGGCCACTAGCACACAAGTCCTTGAAAAACTTATGCGCAGCCCAAGGGCTCTTTGCTTTACACAAGCAATGTATAAGAGAATTATAAGTGAAATGATCAGGCATCAAGCCTTTGCAGGGCATTTCATCAAGAAACCGCATTGCCTCATCTATCCTTTTTCTCTTACAGTAACAATGAATCAAGATGTTGTAGGTAACAACAGTAGGTGTACAGCCCTTGCTTACCATCAGGTCAAATATTTCTTTAGCTTGATCCGCTTGGTTGTGTAGACAATATCAGTCCATCAATGATTTGTAGGTGATAACATCAGGCTCGCAGCCTTTCTTGATCATTCTTTTCAAAACACCAAAAGCCACATTGGTTTTCCCAATCTTACACAGACCATCACAATCACAGTATAGGTATAAACATCAGGTTGATACCCTTTTTCAACAATATCATCAAACAAATCCACAGCTTCACCAATTTGTTTCTCTCATGTGGCTATTGATTATCTTCTCGTTAGAATTGCTCAGTATGCAACAATTATTTTATTTGTCCTATATATTAGGCAGCATGTGATAATAATTTTCTCATTTTTACGTTTTCAGGAGACAATTTTCACTTCATTTTAGCTACCTTAATATATATGTCTTTATGAGACTGAACAAGCTGAAACAATAACAGAAGAAAAAACTGGAAAAATGTTATATATTGATAATCGAGAAAGGGTAAAATGTTTAGTTATATAAAAGTCCTATAAAAGTTAAGCTGTATATAGCTGAATTATACAATAATACAAATAATATTCTACTTTTTAGACTTCCAAGAGACTAATGCATCACCAAGAAATACACAAAACCCTATGAGAGACATCCTTGTAAAGGAACATGATGCCCTGTCTGCATAACAGTAAGCTTGGAGCTGCAAATTATTAGAAGCAAAGAAAAACAAACCCCTTGAGGGATAACCATTTAAATACTTAACAAGATACCGAGCAACCAAAAGATAAGGTCGTCTAGAAGAAGACATAAATTGATTGGGATGGTGAACATACTAATTCAAGTCAGGTCTTGTTAAAGGGGATAAAGTAATTCACCAACATCTAAAAGTTCTCCTTCATCTAGAGGCTATTTAAGACCTCTAGGAAGAGGAGATAATGAAGCCTTAGCATCTTGCAAACCAGTTTCATGAACCACATCAAGAATAAATTTTTGCTAATTTAAGACCTCTAGGAAGAGGAGATAATGAAGCCTTAGCATCTTGCAAACCAGTTTCATGAACCACATCAAGAATAAATTTTTGCTAACTAATAATAGTGCCGTATCAGACCTGGCTATTTCAATACCCAGAAAGTATTTTGCAGAACCAAGATCCTTCACAGAGAATTTACCATCAAGAGATTGTTTAACAGAAGTAATAGCACCCAGATCAGTTCTAGTAATTATAACATCATCAATATATACCAGGATAACAAGAAAATGATTATCAATAGATCTTATAAATGAACAATGATCATAAGTTGATTGACAAAACCCCAATTTCAAAATAAAGGCAGTAAATTCAAGGTTTCATTGCCTGGAAGCATGCCTAAGACCATAAACAGATCTTTTTGACATAACTCCATTAGGCTTATATTTGATCTTAAAAATCCATTTATTACCCATGGCATGTTTACCCTTAGGCAAAGTAGTAAAAATCCAAGTCCCATTATTTTCTAAAGCAGTCAATTCTTCCGTCATTGCCTTAACCCAATTATGATCTTTTGAGGCTTTAAGGTAAGTGGTTGGTTCATGAATTTTAGCTATTTGAATGAAAGCTAAATGAACTTGAATCAGTACTGGAGAGAGAGAACTTGATGGAGAAATGACAATATTGACAAAATCCTTTAACATGCTGGTTTGGAAAGACTTCTGGTATTTCTTCTTAAAGGAACATGGTTTTGAGAAACAGGAGAAAATGCAGGATGTGAAGAAGAATGAATAGGAGGGAGACAGGTAATTGAGAAAGTTCAGTAGAACTGGAAAGAGGAAAATGTGCTGGGTCAGGTAAAGAAACATCAAAAGCAGTAGAATAAGGAGGACCAGGAATAGGAAAAGAAGATGGAATAGATTTTGAATTAAAAGGAAAATGAAGAACAAGTGATAGAGAAAGAGAAGACAGATTTACTAAAATAAGACAGTTATTTTTGCTAAAATAAGGGGACAAAAATTACAAATTATGTTAGATAGCAAACTTAACAAGTGAAAAGAAACAACACTGCTCGCTTTTTTCTCTTGATAGCAAATTCAAGAGAAAGCAAGTAAAAATATAATAGGTCTCTTTTCGTAACGAATACTAGTTTCAAATATAATAGGCAAATATAAAGCTTGAAAGAATCACATTAACTAGTTTCAGAACAAAGCCTGACGAACTAAGTATCAGATGTACACAACACAAGATCGAAATAACACTCTATTTGGAAGAAATTTTACAGATTTATCACGTCAAAGGCACATAAAATATGACAGGGAGAGTAAACAAATGAAAAATAAACAACCAGTTCCCTCTTATAATCGAGTGTGCTGCTTTTCTATGCCGTGTTCAATGGGTATGCAGCAAGTTCAAGAGAAAGAAAGCAAATAAAACAATTAATATTCCAAATTATTGCCAAGGCCAGCTGCAGCAAATATATAGAACCACAAGCTACTGAATTAAACTCAAAACAGAACAATACCTAGCTGAGCCTAAAATATATAGAACCACAAGCTACTGAATTAAACTCCCAAAACAGAACAATACCTCCTGTAACATGGCATTTAACAATTAAACTCAACTTCTCCACCTTGGAGAACTTTGTAGAGCAGCTCCAAAGCTTTTTACAAGCAAAAGCTTTTTTACAAGCAGATCATCATTTACTACCAACTCCACAGTAGTGGCATCTGCAGAAAACCCCTTGCCAACCATTTCATCAATTAGTTTTGTTACCATTGACAAATCTTTGATTCGGAGATATCCTTGGATAATCACGTTATAAGAGCAACTGTTTGGTAAGCAACCATTCCCTTCCATTTTCCTAAACACCTTCAATGCTTCATCAAGTAATCCTTCTTTACTAAGTCCATTGACCATTATATTGTATGTGCAAACATCAGGATGCAACCCTTCCATGGAAAGTCTAGAAAACAATTCCTTTGCATCTTTAACCTTTCCAGCTTTGAACATACCATCAATTAGAGTACTATAAACAATAAGGTTAGGCTTCAATAATTTCTTTTGCATTTCACGAAATAGATCCAGCGCCATATCAAGACACATATGCTTACAACAACCCTTCTATGGAAAGTCTAGAAAACAATTCCTTTGCATCTTTAACCTTTCCAGCTTTGAACATACCATCAATTAGAGTACTATAAACAATAAGATCAGGCTTCAATAATTTCTTTTGCATTTCATGAAATAGATCCAATGCCATATCAAGACGGCTATGCTTACAAAAGCCATCTATCAAAATCGAGTGTAACACCACGTTGGGAGAATAGCCACTAGCACACAAGTTCTTGAAAAACTTATATGCAGCCCAAGGGCTCTTTGCTTGACACAAGCCATGTATAGGAGAATTATAAGTGAAATCATGAGGCATCAAGCCTTTGCAAGGCATTTCATCAAGAAGCCACACTCCCTCACCTATCCTTTTTCTCTTACAGTAACAATGAATCAAGATGCTGTAGGTAAAAACATCAGGTGTACAGCCCTTACTTACCATCAGGTCAAATATTTCTCTAGCTTGATCCACTCGGTTATATAAAAGTGATTTTTAAGCTTTTTCCAGGCAAACTGCGATGAAGTCCGCACGTAACATTAAGGTATATTATTTTGAAGTAATATGGATTAAAGTGCATACTGAGGAAAATATCAGCTCCGGGTATATTAGAACAAAAAAAAAAAAGCCCACAAAGCATTAAAAGTAATTGTTAATAATCTAATGTTTAATGTTTTATGTATATATAATATAAAAATATCAAAGTCCTCATAGACAATTATAAACTTAAAATACATAAAATTCTTGATGGTCCCATTATAAGCACTTTATTTACTAATATATGTATATATTAAGACAGATGTACTAAAATAAGGGAACAAAAATTACAAATTATGTTGGATAGCAAATTTAACAAATGAAAAGAAACAACAGTGCATCCTTTTTTCTCTTGATAGCAGATTCAAAATATTGAATTCAAATATATACAACCACCACATATTGAAGGCAAATAAAAAACTAGTTTGAAATATAATAGGCAAATATAAACAACCAGTTCCCTCTTTTAATCGAGCGTGCTTCTGGGTACGCAGCAAATTCAAGAGAAAGAAAACAAATAAAAACATGGGTACGCAGCAAATTGAAGAGAAAGAAAGCAAATAAAAACAGAACAATACCTCCTGTGACTGCACAACAATTATTCCATCTTAAAATCTCACTTCAACTTTACACCTTGAGAGTAGCTTTTTCACAAGCAGATCATGGTTTACTACCAACTCAACAGTAGTGGCATCTGCAGAAAACCCCTTGCCAACCATTTCGTCAATAAGCTGTTTTGCCATGGACACATCATTGTGGCGGAGATATCCTTGGATAATCACGTTATATGAGCAATTGTTTGGCAAGCAACCATTCTCTTCCATTTTCCTGAACACCTTGAATGCTTCATCTAGTAATCCTTCTTTACTAAGTCCATTGACCATTGTAGTGTATGTGAAAACATCAGGCTGCAACCCTTCTATGGAAAGTCTAGAAAACAGTTCCTTTGCATCTTTAATCTTTCCAGCTTTGAACATACCATCAATTAGGGTATTATAAACAATAAGGTTAGGCTTCAACAAGTTCTTTTGCATTTCACGAAATAGATCCAACGCCATATCAAGACACATATGCTTACAAAAGCCGTCTATCAGAATTGAGTAGGTTACATTATCTGGAGAATGGCCGCTAGCACACAAGTTCTTGAAAAACTTATGCGCAGCCCAAGGGCTCTTTGCTTTACACAAGCCACGTATAAGAGAACTATAAGTAAAATCATTAGGCATCAAGCCGTTGCAAGGCATTTTATCAAGAAGCCGCATTGCCTCATCTATCCTTTTTCTCTTACAGTAACAATGAAT